GAATGGGTTATTCCAATTCCTATTGTTTGGTTGGGCCAAATCGGAATCCCATTCCCATCCCTCCTGGAATGGCATTCTCCCATTTGAGGGAATGGTTATTCTTTGCCCCTCCCTTGTGAATGAAATCTCATTCCTATTGATTCTAATTTTCATTCCCATTCCTATCTAAACCAAACATATTATGAGAATAGACCATTTCGATTCCAATTCTGGCTGCAAACCAAACAAATTTAATTTTACCCAGAGGGAGACATACAAGTCGGAGTGGAAAAGGATTTCTCAGGAGATTGGAACTCCTAGAGAGTTTTCCCACTTGACCCAAGTTCTCCCTACTTCTATTTCAAATTTGATAAATATGTACGACATGAAGTTATTTCCTCTTAATATGATGGAGATTAAGTAGATGCTAAAGATAATGACGATGGTTGGATGATGCGATGATGATTAGATGACATACATTTAGGGAGTAATTCAAAACAAATGATGCCCAGGAGACTGGTTTGAACTATCAGTAAGCACCAAATGCAAAAATTGTGCATTGTGTTGGGGCTGCAAGTTGGGTCGGGTTAGGTCGGGTTGAGGCCAACCCTAATCCAACTCTAAGTTCTGAACCCCAATCCTAATCCTAACCCAATTCAATCTAAACCAATCCTAACCCTAGCCCTAACTAAATTCCTTCAACATTAACCCAACCCAACCCAAAGTCAACTTCGGGTTGGGCTGGGCCCAACCCAATCTTCTTTCCATCCCTTAAAATCTCGTATAACTTCTTAATCTTAGATCTTAATTCAGCTTTCATTACATATATTAATCCTATGCTTTATTAGTATTTGTTTGTTGATGTTTTTATTGGTTGTTTAAGTACAAAATTCAAAAAAAATGTGTTTGAAATGACTATAGTTTATTATGATTACTTATAATAGATCTTTTATGGGCAACAAGTTATGGGTGGCAAATAGTAGAGCGGAGATAAAGAATAAAATATTCAGAAAACATAAAATATGTTATCAAGGTTTTAGTATTTCCAATTAGGATTATAAATGATATATACATACATACATACATATATATATATATATATATATATATATATATATATATATATATATGTGTGTGTGTGTGTGTATGTGTGTGTGTACTATAGAGTCAGGTTCGGGTTCGGATTAGGTTGCCCAAGGGGTCAACCCTAACCCTAACCCGAGCATCAACCCGACTTTTTTAGGATGGGTTAGGGTTAGGGTTAGGTTCGGAATAACTCAACCCAAGTTGTAGCCTTAAGTGCATTTCTAATGGGCAATGCACTTTAATAAAAAAGTAATAACAAGGTTCAGGAATTAAGCTACCACATATCTATACGGGTGTTAAAGAATAAAATCTATTTCAGAGACCTCACTTAACAGCTTAAGCTTTTAGATTGATAGGTTTGTTGAGACAAATCATCATACAGGTGGCTAAGGAGACAATTGTGAGACAGATGTCACACACTAATTGTATGCTTCTAATTGTGTAGATAACAATAAAGAAATTACATAGCATTCTTTTAACATTTCAAATAATGGTTGATGGAAGATATTTTTTTATGCATAAGGGGATACTAGTGGTGACCCATACGATGCATGGGTTGCTCTATTTCTACTTTTTTTTATGTGTAGAATAGTAGAAAAAAATCTATTCTTTTTTAGTTATTGAGCTTCAAACTTTCCTTTTCATATAGCTTATATATTATGAGAACCACATAAACCAACTGATGGTGGCTCAGTTGTTACCTTATGTAGTTAGTTGTAGCAAAGACCTAGGTTGGGGCAATCCCTATAAAGCATAAAACAAGTGCTTAGCATGAGACTAATAACCAAGTTAAAAAAAAAAAAAACTATTTTAAAACTGAACTGGTAAAGATAACCAAAAACTCGTATTAAGTTCTTTCTTACTACATTTTGTTATTGAATCATAACAATCCATTAAACAAATATATATTAAAGTAAATTAATAAAAAACAAAGGGAAAAACCTGAACCCAAGGAAAGGAACAAAATAGAGGGAAAACTTGATAACCCAAGGAAAGGAGTAATGATTTGTTTAGATTAGTTCACCCCATGTAATGGCGGGAGAATTTGGGTTTTTAGACATTAATTTGGATCCAAGCTAAGGTTCATATTGTTGACCCTTAACCTAACCCAACCCATCTAATTTACACCCTACTTTATTAGAAAGAGCCAAAAGGGATTAAGTGGTGTTTAAGAGGAAAATAAGGATTTAATGGAGAGGGGAAATGTTACAAATATTAACTATTAAGGGGTGTGTGTGTGTGAGAGAGAGAGAGAGAGAGAAATTTATTAGAGAGTAAATATAGATTTTATGATAGACAATAAAGACCCATGAAATTTTTAATGATTTAATATAAAAGTAAGTATGTGCACATGTAAGAAAGGAGAGGAGGAGGAGGTACATGTGAGCTCTATGGTCAGAGGACCTTCACCTCCTTGCTTTCCTCTTTCTGTTATACTAGCGATGGACCGATGCGATGTATGGGATATCATGTAAAAGAGTTATAATTGATATAAGTGCAAGTTGGGATTGGTTTGGATTAGGTTTTTATAACAATTTGAATGGGCCTTGTCAGAAGGCCTAAGTCCAAAGTAATGTAAAATGCTCATTCGGGTCAATCTGAAATGCACCCCTAATAATTGAGATGCAGCATTGTGCATGGGGTGTTTAGTGTCGGGACAATTTGTTGTAGTGGTCATGTTCCCCCTATTTCAATGCCCAACTTGAAATGATAGGAACTGCCTTTTTTCTCATTTTATATCCTATGGGTGTTTAAAAATTTCAAAAACAAAGATGAGAATGTTATTGCTACAAGACTTGCATTTGTGCCAAAACCAAATTTTAAGAACAAAATGTCAATTTTATTGGAGAAATCTATTATTCCTTAAATGGATGTGTCCATAAAAGAGAAGATAAATAGTTTATTCACTTATTTTAAATGTTTTCACTTTTATAAATGATATAGCCTATGTTTTTTTATTTTGTCTAACATCATGGCTCTGTTGTTTCAAAAAAATATCTGAAGCTTTTTTTCTGTACTTGTTATTAGCTCTAACAAAAATTGATATGGATTCTTGAATTAGTGGTTGATAAATTATAGATCTATTTGCTGAAATTTTTGAGAGGTAGGTTCCAACTTTGAATGGACCTAAAGTTGAATTGGATTGTACTTATACTTAAATCAAATATTTTATTTAGTGGTTGTTTGGTATCGATGGCATTTATAAAATAAATGTTTTGTACAATTTTGTCTTGAAAAATGAAACAAAACCTGCTTTAAACATTTTGTATGATTTTTTTACACCTCAACACCATTAGGCACCATATAAGCCAAGCAGTAAAAAAAGTCTTAAAACTGAGAAACGTCAGATTTAACATTTTTTATAAATGGCTCTCATGATTTTCGAGAACTGATAAATGGATCAACCAAATAGCTTTTTTTTGTCTTTTTGTTAAACGTGTTTATAATGCTGAGTTGGCACCATTTCTCTGGAAAGTTACATCAATACCAAACACCATCTTAATCAAGAGAAATGAAATGTAGATACAGGGGCTTGACCCTCTCCGAAGATGAAATCAAATGCTAGCCCTACTAAACAACTCTCTGCAACAACATTGAAAACCAAACATCAGACCATTTATACCTTTAATCTAGGGTCCCTATACATATCTTGTTTATCAAAGATGAAAGAACTCATTCATCTTTGGAAACAATTTGTTTATATTTCTTTTTTTATATAAAAAATGAGGGGAATTAAAGCAAATTGGGAAGAACTGATTATTGATTTCAAAAACATCCATTAAGTTAATAAACCTAACTGCATTAGATAAAGCTCAATTCAAGGATCAAAGTATCGGTATTGGGTATAGTATCGGATAAGTCGAATACGGATATGGATACACTTTGGAAACGTATAGATACGAAAGATATAAAAACACTTGGATACGCTAGTGAAATGCATACAAATCACATAAATACACTAATAATACTAAACCAAATGCCATATTATCTAGGACTAAGATATAATGACATGAGAAATACATACTTCAATAGGTTATATGAAGAGAAATATTAGAATAAACAATATCAGGACTTTAGAAAATTCAAACATTGTACAATAATTATCATTCTTCCAATTTTATTTTTATAATTTTCAATTTTTATTAATTTTTGAGAATGTTTATTAATTTAGTATTTTATTTAAATAACAACTATTTTTTTAAATAGTAAATATGTTTTCATTTTTAACATTTAATATTTTTTATTTTACACATAATTTTAAAATAAAACAGGTAAATCCTTTAAGGTAGATAAAATAAATTATATTTAATTTTCAGTTTTTATTAAATCTTTTGGAAAAATTAAATCTTAAATTATTCATTTCAGTTTTTATAATTATAATTTTCTGTTTTCCATTAATTTTGTTGGGAAAATTTATTTATTTAGTATTTTTATATAATAACTATGTTTTCATTTTTAACATATAATTATGTGTAAAATAAAATATATAAATCATCTATGGTAGATGAAATATATTATATTTATAATTTTTAGATTTTATTATTTTTTTTTGAAAATTTTAAATCTTAAATTATTTATTTCATTTTTCAAATACTATGTTTAACTTGTATTAAAGATGAAAAACAATCCAAAAGTACTCAACGTACAATTTTGTCAAATTAGACACGAATACACCTCTATATCGGTGTGTATCGGACCGAATCCACCAATATGGTGCGATACGGCCTGATACAGAGGCATATCATACCAATACGCACGACTCATGGGGATATGTATCCAATCGTAGCGTATCCTATATCCATGATCATGGATACGGATACGATACGCCCCATATCGGGAGTATCGTATCAATACCTTAATCCTTGGCTCAACTTTGGACTCTTACACCCAAATAGAGAAAGAGAGAGGGAGAAAATAAAAGATAACATAACAGATAAAGAAATAAGAGAAGCCATTTGTCTATCTGAACATCAAATATGGCACTGACTGACCAATCACATATTAAGCTTCCATACAAGAAGAAGAAGAAGATATCTTGCCCATAACTTCATTACATAGGTGAGTCTCCACCAGCCATGCGCATGAGTGTAGGTGGTTAGTAGAGATTCATTTTCCAAGGTTGTAACTGGTAATGGTTCAAAAATTTTTGGTGGGAACAGATCTAGCCAAAATGAATTAGAATACTATAATCAATCTATGTACCACAAAATGAATAAAGGCCTCGATAGGATAATAATAATAATAATAATAATAATAATAATAATAATAAGAGATAAAATAAAATAAAAATATAATATGACAGACAACAGATATGAAAATAAAGAACAAAGGAAGAGAGGTCAATTGTCTTTTTGGGCTTCAAATATGGCATTGACTGACCGATCAAAGGTGAGTCTCGATCGTTCATGCCCATGTTTTCCAATGGTTACTCGAACTCCAGCGGTGTTTCAATGAAACTTTACTCCCTACTTTTCCTGAAATTGAAAGCCCTTTGAAAAGTCAATGTAGGGAATGAAATGCTATGGGAGTGGGAGAGAAAGAAACGAATATATGAGGTTCATGACATTAAGCCGTTGTATAGAGAGATTTAAGAATAGGATTACAAACAGATGAGTAAAACCTCTTGGGTACTAATCATATTCTGAAAAGTCAACAATGCCCTTAACATTAAAGTGGAATCATGAGTGATTCCTTAATAAGGCTAAATAGGTAACTTTGATAAACATTAAAAAGTTTAAAAGATAAAAATTGTCTTTTATCATAAATATAGCTATACATGTGAGAAGGGACAGAGCAGAGGTACTCGTGCAAGCAACCTGATGAGAGACCTCTTCTCTCTCTCTTCATTCCTATTATAGATATAGATATTTAGATGCTTAGAAAATTTATGGATATGAGTGGTTAGGATACGTATGCATCAAGATATCCCACAAAATCATTAATACATTAATAATACATTAAACAAATGAAAAAAAACACATTTTAATAACTCACATTAATTTTTTTTAGAAATAATTTACATGAATTAAGTATTAATTAATAGGACACACTTGAGTGTTGAGAAATGGTGAAAGAATTAAAATATGCAAGGCTAATATAAATCTCAACAACACTTACAAATAATAATCTCCATGATTAATTATACTTTTTTTATTTATCTATCAAATTTTTTCATAATTATAAGGATAAATTTCTTAAACTACCCTTATGATTTAGCTAATTGATTAAGTATATCTTACTGTTTGAAAATTATATGTTACCCTACTGTTTCTAACAGCTACCTAAAACTTCCCCTACCGTTAACATTTCATCTAAACGGTCATGTGACATCACATGATAATTATATTTTTCGAAAATCCCTAATGGTCGAAAATCCCTAAACCCTTCGAATCCGTACAACCGCTCCTCTTGATGACCGTAGTACTGCAGGGGTTTTTCCGACCAAGCCCAGTTTCGGACCTCATCACCGACAGTTGTGTTCAAAGTGCAAGCACCTAACCGCATAGTTAGGGCCTTCACGTGCAACGGATGCACCTGAACCCAGTCGGAGTTACATGATATGAAGGGTGAAAGGATTGTAGACGAGGAAGGCTGGGAAGGCAGTGACAAGAGGAAGCACCGTTCTAGCAAGTCGAGAAAGCATAGCAATGCAGAAGAAACTGAAAAATGGGATAGCAGTGGCAAACGGAAGAGTTTAGGGGACAGAAATGAAAGTCGAAAGAGGTCAGGGGGCTCAAACAGGGCGGGTAGTGAGGATGAAGATGAATATGATACAAGAAAAAAGCAGATGAAGAAAAATCAAGTAAAAAGAATTCAAGCAATGGGTATCAAGATAGAGAATCAGAAAGCAGTCGAAAGGGGAGAGATGCTTCAGGGAGCAAAGGGCATGGCCCAATTGAGGAAGGGAAGAGGATCTCGTCAAGGAAAACAAGTTCAAAACCTTCAGCTCATGAAAGTTCTCAGAGCAAAAGCAGAAGCAAGCTGGAAAATTCTCATGATGGCGAGCTTGAAAAGATGCAGGATAGAGATTCCAGGTATTCTGAAAGAAATGAGAGCAGTAGGGAGAAAGGCCGTGGATCTCGCGAGCAGGAGAGAAACCCAAGGAGAAGATGGGATGATTCTGAGTCAATTAGAAAAGCAGAAGAAAGAAACTATGTAGATAAATCTAAATCAAGGAATGGGAAGACTTCTGAACTCAAGGGTGGAGAGAGAAATACGGATGCAAGAGATGAACCTATTGACAGCAAAAGCTGGATTGTAGATTCAAACAGTGATAAGGGCAACAAATCTGGGAACAGGGAAGAGATGTAGTACCTCATCACCGGCGACAACTGTAAGCACCTCATCGACTGAACCAGAGATGCAGTGGCGAGGCGAGGTAGGGAGCTTGCAATCGAACAAACCGAACAGGGATTTCTCTCTTCTTCGCCTTCTCTACAATCGAACAAACCGAACAGGGATTTCACTCTCTTCTTCGCCTTCTCTGCAATCAAACAAAACCAAACCAACTCTGCTAGGCTCTATCTTTCTCTCTCCTCTTATTCGTCTTCTCTAGAATCGAACAAACTAAACCCGTTGTCCCCTGTCCTAAAGAGAACCCTCTTCTTCGTCTTCTTTGCAATCAAACCCCTGTCCTGAAGCGAACCCGGTTAATCATCGTCTTCTTTGCTATCAAACCCTCTTCTTCGTCTTTATTTTCTTGGTCACCGCCACTGAAACTCCTAGCAGCGGCGTCATCTCGAATCCAAGACCCTGACCGCAGAGTGATGACGTCTCTCTCTATTTCCTCTGCTTCCTTCCCATTGTTGAAGACGCCAAACGATTACAAGTTCAGTCAGGTGCGATTTTGCCGATGGTTCTTCTTTCTCGAATACAAGTGGTTGAGACTAATTACGGTAAAGCTTAGGAAACCTAGAAGAAGAACGGAAGAGCCTCGAACTTTGGTAAAGCGTTGGAAATGTTGAAGAACGGAGGAACTTTAAATTTGATTTAAGGGCAAAATAGACATTTCAGCCCTTGGTTACGGTAATTTTCAGAAACAGTAAGAATAGCCTTACCTTGGTCAATTTTTTAAACAATAACGTACACTTAATCAATTAACTAAATTATAAGGATATTTTAAAAAATTTATCCTAATTATAATCCTCCAAACCCTGGTGAAGGTAGGATCCTAAATCTCCGCTACAATCAAAGAGACCTTGACCTTATCAACTGAGCTTTTCTGACACCTTCAAGACAAGTGGAGTATTGGAGTTCCAAGGTATGGTATTATCAATGTTCATACTACAATGTCATTTTATTCACCCAACTTTTTCCATTGTAAAAGAAATTTAGACCGGTATAAATTTATGGGAGTGCATATAGGCCGTGTAAATTCTGATTTACACTTTTTCTTCAGATCTGCCTCATTTTGTTTGTTTACGAGCAAAATGGGAAGTAATAAAATGTTGTTGTCCCCACTTTATAAAGAATGTAGGTGGAACAAGTTTTTTATCAATTTTCTGCTAGTAAGTGCAAATGGGACAAAAAGTGAAAATATTGCATCGGATAAGAAAGCAAATCATGATTACAAACAAATGAGTGCAAATATGAATCAGGTGCAAATTTTGAATTCAGTTCAGATTTGTATTACAAAAAAATAGAGGAAACATGAATGGTTACCGAGGTCAATATTTTGCCATAAGGCTGCGTTTGTTTGTGATACAAATGTCAAACCGGAGTATTTATGTATCCCAATTCGGATTTGTGAATGTTTGTTTGTCATACAAAAATGCAATTATTAAGAAGATAAAAATGTTTTTTTCTGACATCTTTGTGTCACGCGGAGAACACATTAATGTACCCATTTTTTGGATACAGATTTGTGCTATTCTAATAATTGATGTAAACAGGCTTATAGATTGGCGCATTTGACCAACAGTTCAAGATAGTGGAGTATCGGTAGTTGGAGCACTTGGGGTCTATTTGGTTTGCAATTGGAATTGGAATCAAAATCAGAATGGTCTATTCTTATAGTATGTGGGAATGGAAATTAGAATCAACAGGGAATGGAGTAGGGAATGGCCATTCCCTCAAATGGGGGAATGTCATTCCAGAAGGAATGGGAATGGGGTTTTGATTCTGTCCAACCAAACGGTTGGAACCATAATAGCCTATTGCGATTCTGATTCCTGACCCTTATTCCTATGAACTAAATGGGACATTAATGTTTGCTCCCACACTTTGCACCAATTTCAAACAAACAAAAGTACAAAAACGGGTTACACTGTGAACCCACTTTGCATTCTTGAACGAAAAAGTGGGTATTTATGCAAAGTATATATTTGGGTTTTCCTAATTTGAAGAATTTCCATGGCATTGGGTTCAGACCCTTGGCTTGGGTTGCTTTCAGAATTTTACAAATGGTCAACCCAGGCCCAACCAAATTGCACCTTTAGGATGGATGATGGTTAAAATGGAAAGACAAGCTTGCATTTATTAAATAAGTACCTACAAATCATGGTTTTCAAAACCAGACGGGACCAGACAGTCAGATCGGAAAACCCAGGAACTGGTCACCTAACCAGTTCCATTTTACCCCAAAACCGCCTTCTGGCCAAAAACCGTTGATTTGGTCAGCAAACCACTGACCCAGGTGGTCAAACCGTTTTTGGCCATTTTTGTTTTTTTAATTTTTCTGTCAGAGTAGGCCGTCCATTCAGACCAGATGGTCAGACCATTTGACCCAGGAACTGGACCCAGAATGGTTCCCTGTTCAGTCCGGTTTTAAAAACCTCGCTACAAATAATCAAGCAGGTTCAGGCTACCCAAGCCTAAGACCTTAAACCTTCAAACCTAGCTGGGATCCTACCTGACTTAGCAGGCTCATGCCCATCTCAGATCTACCATTGGTTGCTATTCACTTTTTGTTCATCATAACCTACTTTTTCATCTGTTTCGGAGGTGGGAAGAAATGTAGCAGAAACTTCACGTGTTGTTAGTCACGTTATATATACCATCTTTCTTAACTTGATTACTAGTCTTCTGCGTTTTTTTCCTGGGAGGGAATGATCATTGATTCATGCAGTCGGAGCATCATGGAGTGAAACCACGGGGGTATCCTGTACCTGTAGAGGCTGTACCTAACCTAGGTGAACAGTATACCTTCTAACTCTGTAATGTTACAACCACCCATTTTAGAAACTACTGGAAACTGACAGAAAATGAACAGTATCATAAAAGATGGTTCATAGATGAAATAGAAGCTTTTCTTCTACTGTATCAAAAAATGGCATGGCAGGGTATAAACTCACAAGACAATGTCTTCCCTCAGAATTTAACAACCAAAAATCAGTAATGACAATATTTGATCAATCCATTGTTTCCAATTACCAGATTGGACTTCCCAGTAAAAGGTAAGGCCGACTGCTTCTCCAGATATCATCCTAGCAATGTAATTTATCAAATAAAACATGAATCAGAATCTAATAAAAAATAACATGCCAAATAAAATGGAACTTGGAAAAAGGTCTCTGGTAACAATACGTTTTGGATATAAAGCTGGTTATAAAATCTTTCTTTCTTTCAAGTGCAACCTGGGTGACAGATATGGTTAAATATAAAAAAGTCAGTGAAAGCACCGACTTCTAATGTCATTCCAGAAACAAGTATAATGCTTCCTAAAGGGACACACTAAAATAAAATATAATCCCCTTTTGGTGTCTCAACTTGAGAAATTTGAACAGGTCACATGTTTATACTGCAAAAATATCAATAAGCTTAGTTCTGTAACCAGTCCTAAGTCCAACCTTCCAATGACCCCAGATAGTTGGTATATTTGGTATTGACATTGGATAATGGCAACTACTAGTACAAAAGTTTACCATGAACTGTAGAACCTATTGATTAACTCGCTAAATTGCAATTAATTGCTTGCCTGATCACCAAATGATATCAAATTTTTAATGCTCATGACTGACTTGTCCAACAAGGAAAGCTTTCTCTTTTAAAAATGACAGTTTTTTTGGAAGAAAAAAAAATTATGCACCTAATAGCATAGAAATTCAAAATAAAAATTTATTATGCTTGTACAATGGTACATACTGTGAAAGGACTGAACAACTGCTAAGGTTGAGTTGAGATCTTTAAGATGATGTGTATAAAACCTAATGATTTATTTGCTAGATTGCAAAAAACCATGTTTTTATCTATGTCCATACAATAATGAGCCTCAAAATGGGGTTTAAGATGGGCCAATGTGAATGGACCGATATAATGGGCTTTGGCCATTTATCCAGCTACCAATACTCTAAAAGCGATAGTATGGATCCCACAATAAATAAGATCTTTTCAAGATTTGATCATATTATCAAAGTTCTCTGAATCAAACATTTAGAGGGCATTGAAGATTTAAATAGGAATTACAAATTATAAGTTTTTCTTTGGTTACAAGTATTCTATTCAATTTTAATGTTTAGTGAAGTAACTATTTATAAGTGTAATGAGATCTCTTGAATTCCTTTTAAATAATCTTCTATAAGCAGTCAATGAACACAAGATCAAGTCTTGAGTGTGGCTACTTTGTTAAAGAATACCAAAGTTAGATTCAATCCTCCAAAGACCCCAGATGGCAAGGACCAACATTGGACTGTTCCATGTTGGCTTCTAATAGATCCTCTAGGTGTCAACCCCTAGAGTAGACAACCTAGATGCTAACTCCTGAGTTGTTCCATCTCTTTCCTTCTATTCCCTCCTCCCTACCCACTTCACAGATCCATTTCAGATCTGATCTTGCATTTTTCTTCTAGCACATCAGTTGTGTTCTACTTCCTGAATGTTGTCTTCTTGGTCTTGCCCTATATTAGTTTGTAGTTATGTTTGATTAGTAATGTCTCCTACTCAACAGTCAACACTGGAGCAAAACATTGAAACCAACTTAAACAAGGCATCATATAAAATATTTATATTCTTTATTAAAATAAACATTATTACACTAAATTATTCATTTATAGGTTTATAATATTTTTATAATTCATATACCAGTTTCTTTTGATTATTTCCTTGTTTGTTAGGGTTCAATCAACACAAGTCAATGGACACAAGTCAATTTTCTATTCTTTCTTTATTTTCTTTTCATCCATATGTTGATTTTCTATGTATTGATATGAAGTTTATCCTTTTTTATGAAGATAATTAGTAATTATTAGTGAAAGGTGATTGCTAGATGCTATGAGAAGTAGGGAATTGCCCTAGCATTTGGGTTCTAATTTAGGCTCAGTTTGGAAAGAGTACAAATACATACAAAATGCAAGGTTTTGCACTCTACATATTTGTATTTGCATTCCTTCCAGACTGGGCCATAGGAAAAAAAATCCATCACCACCAAGGCAGCAAGGTGCTTCCCTATTGCCTAGATTCACCTTGGCACCTTAACAATCATTATACTGATATTATCAATTCTAAGTCGTAATGTTAAAAACATAACGAGGATACTATATTACTTTGATTGGTATTCACTATATAAAGGTATCCAAAACAAATAGCTATTATACCAATAGAAGAAGAATGGGTATAGGATAAAGCAAAAGTCAATACTCACTGAAAGATCGATGTTAGTATGGGTTATCCAGAAGTTAAGGGAATCCCATAGCGGCTTCTTAGAGATTCAATGCTTTTCTCCGCAGATTGCATAAGCTCAGGGATTGATATTTTGCAAGCTGAACAAATTAACAGGAGAAAACTGCTGAAACTAAAGCACAATGGTTAACAAACTTTCAAATTACTAATTAACTACTACCTGTTGCTTGCAGAAACCTATGCTTGCACTATTTCAAAAGGCAACAACATTTTAAAATGCATAAAGGTTAATGAATCTTCATCAACATGTATCATGGGGTGCATTTTTTTCTTTTCCTTTTTTACTTTTGTTAATCCCAGATGTTATGAATTGAAATTAACTGCAAGAATGATCCAAAGGATGTGCAAATAGAGGATTTTAGGCCCTAGGTCCCTGTAAAGGATGTATTCGAACCAAAAGTCAGCCACCACAAACACAGATATGGGCCACTTTCTTTGAGTTCTTTTGACATGACTTTTCAAGTTTAATATTTCAATTTTCAACTTTCAAAAGAGTGTAGAAAAGACATTTTGACATGACTTTAGTGGAATGCAGTAGGCAGTGACTGGGGGTACAATGCCATGCGTGTTTATTATGGATAAAGCTATGACATTTATAAACCACAAGTAGGTATAGAAGACTTGGTCCTTAATAAAAAAAATCACAAATGCATCACCCAATAAATAAATGTGCTAGATGGTCCAGCCATGTGTTTATATACCACGTGATGTTGTGGCCTGTACCTCCTTTATGAACTCTCCATATGAAGCCTGACAAATGGACCACCAGATAAGACTTTTAGCATTTATGTAGTTTTCAAAGATAAGTTGATTACAGTGTCATGAAAGGGCTGCAAAACACCTCCATTGCTTGTGCACTTTCACCTATCCGATCATAGATTTTCTTATATTCCTTCTCAGCCTCATCCATCACTTGTTGACATGCTTGTGTTTGAATCTGTTGTGGTATAGAATGAAAAAGTGATCAGGACATAAAGCACATCATTTTCTTTAAAGCAACAAGTACTCTACATTTTTGTCTTTTTTTTTTTTTTTTGATAAGTAGCAGCAAGTATTCTACATTGATCATTGATTTTTAAACCAGTTAACTGCTGCCTATTTGAATTTTGTTTCTCAGTAGCTGTCTATTTGAAACTTGAAACTTTTTCCTCCTATTTCCAAGATAATACCAGTGGTTTAAAAGGTGTAACTGAGGTGCACTAGGCGCATAGGCTAGGTGCATTTTAGGGTATGCACCTCACCTAGATACTAAAACTTTTTGCTTTTTTTGAACCTAACAGCTGGGTGGGCACTCTGCCCCTAGACCCCCGACCACACCCCTCAAGGCAAGCCCAAACAAGTCCATGTTAGGGTCTTAAATTCTTAATTCTCACATAAAAAATGATTTCATAACTTTAATTGCCTTTTTAAGAAAATATTTTATTAGAATGAATGAATGAACAACATTAGCAAATAGGGGGTTCTCGGAGCTTCAATGAGCAAGCGAAGCGAGCGAAAGCGGCTCGTAGAATCAGGAATGCAATATGTTTTACACCACTTTAGCTACTTGAAAATGCTTTATATGTTTGATTTCATTTTTAAATTTTCATTTGATTACGCTTTACATGTTATGTTTATGTATTCTAATTTTAGATAATAGTTTTTTTAAAACATTTCTTTTAAATTTTAAGTTTATATTTTTTATTAATATTATGTTTAATATTTTTTGGCTTTTTTTTTTAATTTGCTGACATTTTTTTTATTTTTTAGCTTTCTTTTTGTGCCTTGCTTCAAAAAGGTGTGTGCCTCACCTTGCGCTTTTAAAACACTGGATAATACAACTGGACACAAAGAAAAAAAATGGACGAAACCACCAAATAAGAGAATAGGGGGCAAGGGAAAGACATAGTCCTTGCAATATAAATTATCACTGCACCAAAACAGAATATATTAGTATAATGGAAACTATTAGTGCAATTTCCATCACAACCTTATAAAGTACCATAAACTGGATTCCATGCCAGAGCCTCCCTCATAGAACAATGTAGACATTTATCTAATAGGTCCTATATTTTTTTGCAAATTGCAATATTATCCAGTCTCTCTAAGATAACAGATTGTGGATTTGCTGAATATAGAATTGCTTACAACATAGGTTAAAGAGAATATTTGTCACAGAATACGTGCACTGCTAATCAGCCTGAAAATGGGATTCGTCATTTTGGAGACACACATAAAACATCTAGGCCAGGTTATAGCAAATTAATGACTCCACTCATCAACACAATTAGGTTCCTTTGAATAAACAAGGAAACTGAGGTCGTGCTGAAGAAAAGGTATAGCTGCTGGAGAAGATTATCCAATAAATTCAATATCTCAGACTAAGACATATCCCACAGTGGAGACCTTGAGAACTGGTGTCTATCAATACCTTTAGTTTATTGCCTGTATACAGAATCATTAGAGGTATGTAATGCATCCAGTAGCTCCCAAGCTACAACACTGATGGATCTGACATGATGTCAAGAAATAGACCCTGCTGTCATGTACTCCCTAGTACCTACTGTATTAGAAGTCCATGGTATAATACATGAACAGACAAGGTAAGAAGAACATAGCCACAAAATTCAGGGATCTGTTGGAGATATTGGTTAATCCCTCAGCAACAGACTGATCCACAAGTTGATATGCTAAAAATTAGTAAAGCCAAAAGCCCTCATCTTACTAACACTTCAATGGACAAAGTTCCAACTCATTGAAGAGCTCTGTTGCTTATTTTTGTGTTATTTCTCATGCCAATCATGTTCTTACCAATAGAATCAGTTGAAATCACTATGTCAAAAACTGTATTTGAAAATTTAACCTTCATCATAAAACTTTAAGAATATAAGAAAAATTAGAGAGAAGAAAATTGGATTGAAGAGCTCTCTTGATTATTTCTATGTTATTTCTCATGTCAAACATGTTCTTGGCAATAGTGTAATGTGAAATAACTATGTAAAAAACTGTATTTGAAAATTTAGCCTTCTTCATAAAACTTGAAGAATATAACAAATATTACAGAGAAGAAAATTGAATTGAAGGGAATATTAGTGCCTACTTCCAACTACCACCGCCGTAGATAAGTAGAGCAAAGGAAACAAAAGGTGCCTATGTGTATCCATTCTACGGAGAGAGAAAATATCGTCTATATGTATCTATGCTTCAAATTCTACGAAGAGCGGAAAACAGCACGTCAAATTTCAATACAAGTGCCCCTAGAGAACACGTGAAGCTTACTCTTACGCATCTACCTAACATAACCTTTACTGTGAGTTCAACACAGAAACGAAAGAAAACAGATTAAATTTCGAGAAAACCTGTAAGAAATTACCTTGAATCTTTTGGAGAGTCTCGAGTGAGAAGCTTCGATATCCTTAAGAATCTCGGCATGGGATAGATCGAGATGGCGCTTGATGGAATCAGTGCGTGAAGATACAAGATCTCTCAGATCAGATATCTTAGTTAGGGTTTTCTGAGGCGAAGATTTGGTTGGACGGGTGGAGGCTAAAGCTAGACATTTCTTACTGGAGGAGGTGGCAAATCCTTTGCTTTTGAAGTCAAAGAGGTTGGGAGTGAAAAGAGGAGTTGCGAACGGGAGAGGAGATGTCGTCAGGTCTTTTTCTTCGGGGGATTTTGCTGCTGCTGCTATTGCTCTCTTCTTCATCTTCTTTGCCGTGATATGGATTCGCTCCCTTCTGCGAGGGAAAATGAGATAAAATTTGAAGCTCCTCTATTTATAGTTGCGAGTAGCTAGCCGAGTAGGGATGCAACTCGGGCGGGTTGGGTTGAAGATCAACCGAGGGCCTACCGGCCTAGGCGTGGATTCGAGCCGAGTCGAATACAACTCGACTCGCCGAAATTGTGCTTGACTCGAGCTTGAGCTCAAGTTCGATTCGAGCTCGATCTCGGCTCCGTTCAAAGCTCGCAAGTTTGAATTCGGCTCAGTTCATGCTCATAGCAAGCTAAATTTTTTTCTAAAAAATAAAATTATACATATAAAAATATTTTTTATTTATATACAAAAAATTAGAAATTATAAAAGTTATTTTTTATTATACATATAAAAAAATAAAAAATATACATATAAAAATGTTTTTATTTTACATATAAAAATAAGAATTATAAAAATTATTTACAATTATACATAAAAATAAAAATATTATTACATATAAAAATGATTTATTATATATGTATATGTATATGTATATGTATTTGTATTTGTATTTGTATGTATGTATGTATATAATAAAAAATTATTTATTTATTATACTAGGATCAAACTTGACTCGATTAACAAACGAGCCTATATATCAGGCCCAAACTCGACTCAAAGCTCAGTATAAACCGAGTTGAGACGAGCTCGAATAACTTGTGAGAAGCTCGGCTCGTGACAAACCCTACCCAAGCCTAAGGTGACCTCAAGTGCTCTTAAAAAAACAAAAAACCGAACTGAATCAAAAAATGTGGTTAACCAAATCGATCGATTCGGTTTTGGTTTAGTATTTTTGAAAAAACAAAAGATTGGTCCAAAAAAACTGACAATTATATATATATATATAATATACATATATTATTTAATTATAATATGTATAGTATAATATACATATTTATAATATATTATATATTTATTAATAATATATGTTATAAATATAAAAAAAAAACCAAAGAACTGAACCGGTCAACCAGTTATTTGGTGGTACTGATTTGGTTGCAGTCTGGAGAAATGCAAAAACCAATAGGATTAATTCAGTTTCAAAAAATTGCCCATGGTTTGGTTAATTGAACCGTGAGAACCCGTAGACCTCAGGCTCAAGCGTGGCCCAATCTATGGTTAAGCCCAAATTTTTTAGTCCAAACCAAAGTTTAACCCAAAAGTAGAACAACCGATACTTAGTAGAAACTTTTTTGGTAAAAAAAAATTACACAACAATGAACATAGGCCCAACCGCTAAAAAATGCAAACAGAAACAACAAAGACAATACTTAACACTAACACCAACCACATACTCAACTAAAAACTAAAAGAGCAGAAAAAAGAAACCACAATTATTAAGACAAACGATCCTAAAACACCTCTTCATACGAGAGATACTGATTAAGCAAACTAAAAAGCCAACCAGGAGACTACGACCAACGGGCTTCAGAGCACAAAACACCCTTTCTAGCCCATTCATGAGAAACATGGTTACCATTCTTGCCAGTAAAACTAAACCTAAAACTTTCGTTTATAGAAGAGTAAATATCATTTAACAAGGGCCAGGATACAAGACTTCAAAAGATTTTGCCAAGACAGTATTAATAGAATTCTTAGCATCACATTTCATAAGTATGTTTGAATAGCCTAATTCCTTAACCAAAAAACAACATTCCCTGATTATAAAAAAAATGGCATATTGAGCTGAATAAACAAAGCAATGCCCTGCTTGCCAAACAAAAAAGAACCATTACAATCCCTAAGTACAACTGATGGTGCACGATCTGAAGCTCTTAGCTGGATGACAGCTCGGATGTTGGTTGCTTGACTGGCAAGTCGAGCTACAAGAAGAGAAAGCACGGAGAACCTGGGGTGATTAATTCAGCATGGTCACTCCGATGCTTAAGTTAGTGGCTAGTTGTGTAAGCGAGCTAATACTTGAATGCAAGAGAGCTAGTAAGCACAAATCGCGCGTACCTGGGTCTCAAGGGCTGATGCCCTTATATAGACAGACTGCTGTGGGTCTCGCAAAACACCTCCGAGATCCTTGACCCGTGCCGTTAGGAGTCCGTTCTGCCCCGGGAGGTGGATAACGTGCTAGCCATAAGGCCTATTGTGTTTGCCCGATCCGAGCGGGGCGAGGATAAATCCTACAGTCGTGCGGCATGATCCCGAAAAACTCGAAGACAGCTAGCATGCTTCTAGAAGTCAGATATGTGTCACCTCGATAAGTTAGGCAATCCCGAGCTACTCGGACCTCGGTTATTGCCAAGGTGCCCGAGACACCCGAAGTGGCTTGGCCCACCGAGGTGACAGGTGGTGCTGAGATGGCAATACATGCTGGGTCATAATCTAGCTGGCAGGTTGCGTCCACACGTCCTCCATTTACTAGGTAAGCCAAATCACCCCTCATCAATTGCCCCCCACTCCTCGTGCCAAGGGTCCCGACCTAGTGCGGGGAGTTCATGACAAGCTCAGGTGGATTTGGCCTGGTTTCCTTCCGGGTTGATTCCATGTCTAGCAGCTTGACCACGATAACCCCTCAATCAAGAAACCAGATCGCGTGTCGGGGACACGCGAACGTCACACAGGTTACTTAACTCTGCCGAGGCGTTTAACCGGTTTTCATGAGAGCAATCAGATTGCGTTGATCCAAACCGTTCAGGATTGGCTACAGTGGCTACAAATAGGGGCCTTGGGGCCCCTTTCTTCTCGCCTTATATTGTGCGTTCGCGGTCCTGAGGTTGCGTGTCTGCTCCCAAGTCGGTGTTGACTGCCCTTGTATTCGAAATTGTCTCCTTCCCTCTTCGATTTTAGGTAAGCTGCCTTCGTTCCTCGTCTGCTTCTTTTCTTCAGTTCAAGATGTCTAGTATTAGTACTGGTAGCTTGTCAGACACAAGTAGTGAGTCAACTGAAGCCAAGGTGGGCACCTCGACCAAAATGATAGAGTCTAGTCCTGCCAAAGTGAGCACTTCGAGACATAGCTTTGGGTTCAAGTCATCCGAGATGGACACTTCAACACAGGAGAGCGAGGTCTCCAGGAAGGAAGCGTCAACCTCTCGCCGCTCTCAGAAGTCGAGGCCAAATTGCTTTGGTCCTTCTGTCATGACTATAGAGAGGCTCCAAGCGTTAGCTACATACTATAAGTTCCCCGAGGACCACAGCTAGAGTATCCCCTTGGAGGGGTATCCTTCAGACCATGATCACGACAAGGTCGTGGTATTCGAAGAGTAGTTAGTTCCCGGGTTGCACTTCCCGCTCCATCCTTTTATTATCGAAGTCATCAAATTCTTCAACATCACCATAGACCAGCTCCACCCAAATTTAGTTCACAACATTGTAGGTATCATTTCCCTCTTCCACGACTAAGGCAGATCTTTGACTTTAGACATCTTTAGCTCGATTTGTTCTATTAAGAAAAATCCTGGCAATCTCTCTTCATCCGAAAAACGTAGTTACTACTTAGCCCCCCCGACTTGGGTACAAGGTCTTGTACAAATACCCCAACAAGGTCCCAGCCTGGAAGAAACGCTACTTCGTTGTCACTACGGCTGGGGGGTGGCCTTTTCTGACTCACTGGAGAATGGCCATTAGTGACCCCGACATCAAGCTAGATAAAGAAACAAAGAAAGAAATTCATTCCTGGGTGAAGCTCATTTTGAGGTTGAAAGATTTTCTGGTTAAGGAGAAACTAGTCAACGCGGGGCTAAGTCCAGGTAGGTCTCCACTTCGGTACGCACACACTTAGCCTTTTTACTTCATTTCTTCTACTAACTGGGTGCTTTTTTCTTACAGGCATCATGGCTGATTTTCCGATCTCGAAGCTCTTTACTGATATGAAGAAGAAGAAGAAAAGGAAGGTGTCCCGCACTGATACCCCAGCTGCCTAGCCTGTCACCGCTTCCCCTACACTTGCTACTTCAACAAAGAGGGAAGAAGCCCCGGTTATTGACCTGGTCGAAGATGACTAGGGAACCAGGTCTCCACTCTGCGAGCCTGAGGTGGCCTAGGAACCTGAGCCCCGACCCATTCAACTCGAGGTCGTTGCTTCCAATGCAATCCCCGAGGAGGGCCAGAGCATCTTCGACGCCCATGTAGCCACTCTCAAGAGCAAGGAGGCTGTCTTCCCTGTCGAAGTCTCCAACTATGCCAAGATGTCATATTCTAAGCTCGCCGCTACAGCTTGGGGTCATCTTATGGGGGTATGTTCCCAAACTTATCTCCTTGTTGTTTGCGTTTTCTGCCTTTCTTAACAATGTGTTCTTGTTGTAGACGAACTCAATGATCCATTCACTGGTGAAGCAATCTGATCGTCAAATGGCGTTGCTACAAGTCTCTGAGGCAAAGGTGAAGACCTTGGAAGACAAGGTACATGCTGCTGAGGCCAAGACACAATCCGCCGAGTCTAAAGTGACGGAGTGCTAGACCAAAATGCTAAAGGTTGTGGATTGTGCAAGGAAGTGGGAGGGCGGGGCGAAGCAAAGAGACGAGTGCATCCGCGAGCTAGTGAAGGAAGTCGAGGAACATAAGGCTCTCCTTGCCGATCGTGAGGCCATCTTTATGCAAGAGATAAAGGAGGCTGGTGCTCTTGATGTTTAGGTTTACAAAGCATCTCCGGAGTTCGGCGAATTTGTGAACAAAACTGCTACTTCGGAGTTCCGCAATGGGTTCAAATTTTGTCGCTGGTTGGCTAGGCGTATGAACAAAACCACTTACCACCATTGGGGTTTCCACAGAGGCGGTTATCCAGTCAGAGAAGGAGGACCCAAACTCTGAAGAGGAAGGCGATGATGGCGTCGGTGAGGAAGCTAGGGAGAAGTTGGGCTGTTTGGATGTGGTAGTCGACGAGGTCTTGGAGATCGATGGGGTTGATGTTGCAGATGCATTTATGGAAGTTGAACCGACCAAAGACTCTGAGCACGTCGATGGAGGGGGCAAGGAGCCCTATGAATACTGATACTTTTGCCTCTTTTCTTGGACCTCCCTATACATACAATG